ATGAACGTTCTTCAGAGATCCGGATGAAATGTACTATTGCTGCCAAATGCTTTAGGAAGTTCTGACTCCAACTGCACTGGGAAAACCTGTTGGCTGTCGTTTGTTTTTTTAAATGCTACTAGGAAGACTTTAAGGCCAGAGTTTTCCATTGCTATGAACAAACCTCAACCTTAGAACAAGCAATCACATGAACAAAAGCAATTGTTCCTAGCAGAAAAGGAAAAGAGAAATATTTCTAAGCTAGTGCTGCACAGTAATTTTAGTCCAACAGACAAATATTCCAGCTCTTTTCCCAGGGATACCCCAACATTTTTTTGCTGCAGAAACACAAAGATCCGTTTTTGTCCATACAACTGGAGCCTTTGAGAACTCTGAAGAAGAGATGATTCTGGTTGTGTCTCACCTAGCACTGCCAGCTGTCTCACACAAACTCAGAGTTCCACATCATGAACAAACCTAGAGTGACACACTTCAGTGTCAGTGCAGACAAAATGGTTTTGCAGCAGACTCCTCTTGCTAGCCTAGCACCCAGAAAGATTATAAATTAGCAGTTCTGACATTCAGTAGTCTTTTTTAATGTATTCAGATAAAAAAAAAAAAACAACCCAGTCTTATGTGCTGGTTTACACTCAACCAACAAGAACTGCTTGCGAAGGGTTCAAGGGACCTCTCTTCTGTGGATGTGCCTACCTGTCATGCACAGTCACAGCACAAGACACAGGTGCACAACATGACCACCTGGTTGAGCTATGGCTCCAGCTCACCAAGAAGGTGTGTAAGAATGGACCATCAAGCAAACAGCAACCAAGGCTGGATGTGAAGATGAACACTAATATACAGGGACTAGGCTTCAAAACCTGGAAGTTTAAATTCATAGTTGGGGAGTTGACACATACAGGAGGTTTAAGGCTAAGATGGAAGGAGGTAATAAGACCTAAAAGACAGAAGTACACAAAGACAGCCAAGGTATTACAAAGGTTCATCAAAACAATTGACAGGAAAGGCTTTGGAATTATGAAGTGTAACAAATTTCAAATGGAAGGCAGAGAATATCTCAAGGTAAAAGGAGAAAAAAGATGTAGATAAGAACAAGAACATGCATGTTCCCATGAACACTGACAGGTTCTGTTGTCATTTCACCAGAGACAAGAATGACCTTGTACCCACATTTGGGAAGCAAAGGTTATTCTCATCACTGTGAGCTGCTCTGATACCAGGGGGAAATACTTTTACTGTACACACTGTACAGGGAATGGAAAAGTAAACATGAACTAGGAGTTGTGTTATGCTAAGGAACTGGACCCCAGGGGTCAGAATCCTTTGCAGGTATCTTCAACCAGATTCAGGGCTTTGTAATTTGCTTGCTTGTCTTTTATTTCTCAGCATCTGCAAACAGCCTTTTCAGTTCAAGAAACGAAATCACTTATCAACAAAAACTTGACATCTAATCCCTTTACTCTCAAAGTAAATACCAGTATTTAGTACTACAGAAACAATGCTGCAAAGCCTGCAAGACAATTGTGGCAATGGATGCTCACTTTTTCTTCCTTGCAAGCTGTCCATGAACATTAATTTCTTCAGGTATTTTTTATCTTCTTCCAGGTTTCAGTTATTTTCTTTCATGATAATTAAATGATAGACATAAACTAATTGCAATGAATTCTGTATAAGAGATCTGTAAGAAATCCTTTTAGGAATGTCATGGTCTCTCCTGTCAGGGAATACTTTATCCAGAGCATAGTTAAAACTAATACATAGTTAGAATTTACCTAAGTTTTGAGCATCCTTTCAGGACACTGCTTACAAGAAATGCCACGTCACAGACACAGCAGCTGGGCAACAGGTAGTTACCAATTAATTTGTAAGGTGCCCAATTTCCAACACATTCTTTTTCAGCCACTAGGTTTTACTACATGAGCACTAAGTTCCAAAAATTAATCTAAAGTTATGTAGCTTCCATTTATGTACATATTTAAGTTTAAATACTAAAAAAACCCCTAAAAGTACTTTAAAAAGCTCTGGTCCCTAAAGACAAAACCACGAGACAAAGTTGAGCATCACATCAGAACAGGCCATTTTCTAGAAATGTCTAGTAACAAAGAAACAGATACAAACATGACTTTTAAAAAAGAGTATGTTTAATGATATTCTCTTGACTGTTTACTGGTAGAACCATGAAGTGAGCAGAAAAATTAGTTATTTCAAATGGCCAGTTGAATAGCAACAAATTGCTGCAACTCATATGGTCTTAAATTTCTAACTGAAGTCTTATAACAGCTGATTTCCACTCTCACTGTTTCCTAGTTTATTCTAGCATCTATTCTTTATGAAACAATATTCAGTAAGCATTTAAAGTATTCCTTGAAATGTTAAACTACTGTGATCCCAGACTGCTATTTACACTTCAGGAATAAACACATTGTATCAGTTCTGATTTGTATAGAAAATATTGAATACAAGGAATTTATAAACTGCCACATTAATCTTGAAAGTTTTGATAACTCAGCTGAAGTAACTCCTTGATATCCACAATCATTTAAAGTGACTGGCAGGTCAGTACTAATAGGAAAAAATAAAACAGTTAAATATTCATCAACACTGAAAACTATTACTAAACTTAAAGAAGCAAAAAGCTTATATGCCTCAAAGGAGCTATTTTCTCATTGCCAAGACTTCATTACAATTCAGTTTAAAAAAAAAGTAGTCTCTATAAAAACTTCATAATTTCATAAACATTAAGAATGTTTCATGATTTATACCACATTTAGGACCAATAAACCTTATACTCCTAAGTCAAGACCACTAAAATAAACTGAACAGGAATGCTAATAAAGCAAAACAATTTCTTTAAGAGCGTTTTTGGGTTGTTTTTTTTTACTAGTGAGAATACATTTTACTCAGGTGTCTCCTTGTTTCTATTTATTGTACTCTTACCTCAAGAAAGTAAGAGTTGATTGTGTCTCCTTTCCATTACAAGAGACATTTTCTGATGTTGGGTTCTAGATCAAAACTGGTTCCATACATTTATACTTCTATTAAGCCATGCAAGGAAACATCCAAATGCATGTTAGTAGAGGAAGCATTAACCCAGACAGTTGAGGTCTGGTCATCATCAAAACTTGGCTTCAACAAGCTATGGTCCTCCTTGAAGAAATTCCACATTAAGGAGCTCCCACCAGTTTCTGTTGGCTTATAGAAACCCTGTGACTTACAAACATGCCAGTGAAGACATTGAAAAAAACCCCCAAAACACACCCAACACATTCTGCCCAAAACTTCGCACTTACAAATAAAAGCTCCTGAGAAGCAGTGTATTTTGAAATTTGTCAATACTTCATGAATTTTCCTACGTTCTTTATCAACTTCATGAGAAATTCTGCACGTAGATAAAAATACTGAGATGTTTGGAATGTGCATCTAATGATCATAGGCCCACAACTACATATGTGTATCATGACATATATCCACACACACAACCATAAACACAGTAGTTTTTATTTTTTTAAAGATACTGCCCCTTAACCCAAACTTCCTCCTGACAAAAAAATGTGTCTTTTTGAACAAAACTACTAAATAGCTCAAAAGAAATATATCGACCAACCTGACCAAAACAGACACTTGTGCTGAGGGATTCCTTCTGCTTGAGACAGCAACTCAAATTCCACATCTTCTCCAGTATTTTTGTCTTATCAATTAATACCACAAGATACTCAAACTAAAACTTGTGTAGTCAGCAACTAACTTTCTATGATTACTAATCTGTTTCTGAATTCATGTGAAAAATGAGATAGAAAAATAGGAACATGAAAACAACAGCCACTATAACAGTATCAGTGCACAAAAACATGACATGAACATCACACACATGAAATTAAATCATAGGAAAAAGAAACAATGCAAGAGCTCAAAAGCTCCAAAGTAAAAGAAATAAATGGGGTAAACAAAGACATGACATGTACATTCTGGAGCAGAGGTGTCAAAGCAAACCAAAAGCTACTTAAGGTTACGATTTTTTTACATTGAGTTCTTATCAGACAGGAGGAGGTTGGAAAGCTTGCATAAAGCTGTTTGCCAGCACATGCTGAACATAAAGTGTGGTGGTATTTCTACCCTAGCACTATATATTTAAAAGAGTAATTTTAGAAGGATAGCAGAGGTGATTTGTCTTCACTACAATCTTAAATCAGGTAATTCAACATAGGGTAAAAACTAAGAAACAAAAAAATCAAACCCATTTTTAGCCTTTTAATAAAACCTCTTGGGTTTTCTAGCTAGAGCAGTAGCTTCAAGATCCAAATGCTATTTGCTGGTGACTGACAAAGATTCAAAGGTAATTTCCTATTATTACATAATATCAAATATGTTGTCTCTCCCCATCTTAAGTGTTCTATTAGTGTTCCATGAAGAATATAAGTTTTATATAATGGAAGCAAATGGGAACCACGCAACAACATATGGGAATGAAGATGTCTTTTGTCAAAGTGATTTTCACCCAATAATCTTTTTAATGAGTCAAATTATTAAAATTAATTATCAAAATAATAAGAAGAAATATTAAATAATATTAACTTTTGCTTTTACATCTATGCACTGAAACTTAGTTGCTTTTCTTCAATAAATATGAGAATGTCAACAATGAAAATCTGATCAGGAAAAACCCCAAAGATATACCTATGACTTTAAAGTCAGGATATAAGAAAATACTTTAAGTATGACTTTAAGTATGACACAGCTTGGACTGACTGTAACTTAAATAGCACAAAGGGTGATTATTTAAAGAGACAACTTCTAAAATTTAATTACTTAATTTAAAAGAAATGTTTGCAACAAAGAAAAGGGCTGCAAAAGAATGCAAGTGATGCACTGCAGGAAGGATACTACTCCCACATACAGCACAGAATCTCTTAAAGAAGGCCAATTTGTGTGGCAGCAAAAGTACTAGAAGTGGAGAATGAACTGCAGGTGGTGGTAACCGGGAAGGAAGGGCACAGAGTACTCACAGAACTCCTCCTCCACGAGGTTTGTGTGAATTTATCGGCGTGCGTGCGCGATGCCCCTGCAGGTTTTTGACTGTCTTTCTGGCAGTTACATCTAGTGGCCTTCATCACCCCCAAAGAGAGAAAAAAGAAACAGGAATCGGTTAGAGGTTAACCAACTGAGCCTCTTGAAAAGTACAGTCAAGGCCCAGCATTCAAACATCATGCATTAAGTGACTGTAGAGCACAATATGATTAAACTGTAGAAATACTCTTTAAAGTGCTGCACAACTGCTGCTTTTCCCAAAGTGTATTTACAAGTAAACCAGAACAAATGTTGACTTTTGGAAAAAGTGATCTGGAATTCTGTTGTTTAAACAGCAGAGAAGAAAGCTCAATCTTAACCTTTCATTTTTGTTTCAGGGGGAATGATGAAAACGAGACAGGGAGAAGAAGAGCACAGGTCAGCTCCACTGCACGTATGTACAAAAGCACATGCTAGACATTTCATTATTTATCACACACAACACTGCCTCCAACTATGATAAATATGGTGTGAACCTGTTGGCATCTCATCTACCCTATCTGTAAGATCTTGCTGCGGTTTGAAATGGCTTGAATACATGGGGCTATTTTACAAGAATCGTCACAGCAGGTGAATTTACCAGAATCAAAAGCAGAGATACACATTGCAAAATCCAAACTCAGAACAAGAGCAAAGAGGTAAAAGGCACACGTGACTTTTGCTTGAGGTGTCTTCCTGAACCTTTTATTACAAAAGTGCCCCCATAACTTGTCCTTATTTGGCCAATTTAATCTGACTATTCAACATGCTTTTTATTGCTTTTTCAAAAAAAAAAGAATCAAGTTTGAATACTAACTTGCTCAGCTTTAAATTCTATGGTGTAATTCTCTATTAAACCAACAGACAGCAGAGGAACGGAGAGGGATAAAAAAACCACCAACAAAAGCTTCAAGAATGGTAAGCCCAATACTTGTTAATTTTTAAAACACTTTAAACGTAGCCTTATCTTTGCCCATAGATAGTTTTTAGCAGCTTCTAGAACTTTATGTTCAAAACAGTTTTGGAAATTAAATACTTTCAACAGTGGTATAAACATCCTTGCTTAGTGCCACACATACAAATCATGACTAGTCTACAGAATTAAAGATTTCAGGAGCACAACTGCAAACACGCTGGGACATGTAGAATCAGTCTGCTGTAACTGAACCTCTACAAGAGGTTCTCAACCCAAGAGCCAGGTGGCTTCAAGTAGAATCCAAACCTTCCTTTGTTATAATGAAAGTGCAGGAAAAAAACCTAGCTGTCTAGCTGCCTTAAAGCCTTCACCAGAATTGCCTAGTTCCACTCTGCAGTGCACTCTTGGGATTTTGCTAAACTTTTAGCATTATACTTACAAGCTGATGCTCTAATTGGCTGATTGTTTCATCCTTTTTCTTCAGTTCATCTTTGAGCTGCCTGATCTCATTCAGCAGATCATCCATCTGCAACAGAACAGTGAGCACTATGAGGTTTTCTATAAGGACTACATAGTCTAAATCCACACCCCTACAGGACATACTACATCAGATGTGCATGGAGGACTGGCAGTAACAGCACATGCTTTCCTCCTCCCATTCCCATGGAGAGATGGGCTGTAGGCAGACAGACTACAGAGTGAAGAGGCTTGACTGGAAGTCTCTTTAAGAGGCCATTATAATGAAGACATTATAATTATGCAAAGTTCAGAGACTAAAAAAATGGTAAATATGCAAGAATGAATTTTTTAAAAACTCATTTTTCATCACATGATAGTTTGCATATATTTTATAACCAGCCCATTACAGCTAGGCCATAAATTAAGGGGAATACTTCCATTTAGCAGCATGCATTTACTATTCAGTTTCACTAAAGATGTTAATAGTTATTGCTTCAGGATGACACCTGATTTGTTGTGCAATTTTTCAAACCATATGCTAGTATCAATTAAAAAGTGACAATTCAAAATGTCAGTTAAATCTCACAGGTTTTTGTTAAGTTAAAAAGCAGTGTTTTTTTCTCCAAGACTAAAATTCTAAGATTTTGAGGGAGGTGACTGTGGAAGGACAAGCACAACAACTACATATCATACAACAACTAAATGCTATCAAAGTAGAAACCAGGGTTGCTAAAGGATGATGCATACGGATCCACAGCTTTAACAAACCTCTAATGCCCTGAAACCAGGATTTGGACAGATGAGTCCTAAACAGGAATTAGATTTTAAGTGTTCTTCCTCTTCAAGAAGTATTTATAACTTCATTATACCTTCAGTAAATACTATTCCCCTCCCATAAGTAGAGAATTAGTATCTTTCTCTACTAATTTTACAATAAAAGGCCATGCTATAAAACCTTACCACCACAGAAAGCACAACGTTACAAGTCTGTGACCATAAAAGATGATCCTGTTTGGAATATCCATTGTGATTTCTTCCACCTTTAATATCCATTGTAAAACAATAACCTCGCAACTCCCTTTGTGGGGTTCACATTGTTTTTTGTTACATCTGTCATACCTGCATCATCTTGGGGAAAACTTAACTTACATGAAAGATATTTTAAACTAAAGCCAACAGTAAAAAGTAGTGAAACAGAGCAAGTAATTGAATAAGTATGGTATGATTACACTTCAAAGCAAAAATTGTCTGTTCAAATTCTAGTACTTAGCAAGCAGGTAAAAGTTTTTTGGAAAAAGTTACTCTACAGCTCTTAATTCCCACACGACTGTAACAAGTTATTTTAATTATTTAATCTGTGCTACCATTTGTAAGTATGTATTTTCAAAGGTCAAATAAACCCTTCTATTTTAACAAAACTGAAAAAAGGAAGTGTATAAACATTCATTAGGTTTGCATTTAAACAGAAGAAAGAAGCAACAAGCAGTACTTCAGAGTGACACACACTTTTGGTGTGTTTTTTAAATACAAACAAGTTTGTATTTCCAATTCTGTGGAGTCAGTCAGTGTCAATTACCTTAAAAGTGGACTCAGGTTCTTGTGGTTCTGGACTTGATGGAACTGAGAGGTTGACGTCCTGGAGCGACACATTGTCATCATTCTACCAGAGAACAAAACAAGAACACAAGCTTGAATTACTTGCTGAAACAGCTCCATTGCAAACTTGCTTTCAAGGACGGAGACACATCAGCTCTCTGCAAAACCTGTTAACAATGCCTGACCTCCCTTACCCCTAATTTCCCCTTTTCTTCCCTGATAGGAAAGCCTTCCTTGTGCATATGTACAGTGCCCAAATAAGGGCCATGAACAGTCTTCCTCTCCTCACAGATCTGCAGGAATAGCTGCAGCTCTGTCACACACTCGAAGTAAAGCCACAGATGGTCACAATTACTACAATTGGGAAGAAGTAATCATGGGAATGGAAAAAACCCACAAAACAAGACCAACCATGTCATGCAAAAGTACCTTGCATGGCTTTTAAAAGCTCTATACCTCTGGTATACTTTTTATTGCCATTAAAAAGCATGTAAGTGGAGCAATAAAACATTCCACAACAGCAGATTAAGGCCTAATTACAAAGAAGGTTAGTATGTCACATAGTCTCTGGTGATTTAAATCAGCCCTATACTATACCTGACTCATTCACTGACAAAGCAGGAGCTAAGTTCATTTGCATCAATTCCCTTACTGCTGCCTTAATTATCTCAATACACATGTAAAGAACACAGGGCAACAGAAAAAAAAACCAGCTCTAACACTGTCAATGGAAACTCAAGCCTCCCATTTGAACACATGCTAGGATTAATCTATGAAACTTGGCTTGAGGTACATAGCCTGAAATATGTAAACTGATGGAGGATTAACATTGTAGACTTCCACACTTAATGAGCTATGTAGGGATAGTCTTCAGTTAGAGATTATTTTAATTTGATATAAATTTATATACATATATATATGTACGTGTGTGTGTGTATATATATATATTCACATGCAATGTTTAATCCAAGAATATAACATACTCCTTTAAGAAACAATCAAGTAATTGAGTAGTGACTGATCGTTTCACAGAAATTGTTGCTCGTTACAGAAATTTATTTCAACCACTACCTTCTAGAGTGATTTTCAACTCCATCACATTCACTGGAAAGTTTTTGCTGGACTCAAGTCAACAGAACACATTTCAGCTTTTGGCTAGTTTTGGGGGGTCCCGATGTGGTTACCCTGAGGTAACCACACACCTCAAGACATGTCTTCAAGAGGCTTATAAAATTACAGCAAACCTGAAGTCAGAAACCATTAGAAAATACTCAAGCAAGACTTAAAAAACCATCCTAAATTTACTAATACCTGCATAAAGGGAGCAGGTGGTTGTGGTGCAGAAAAATCCACACACACACACATTCTCTTCACTTTTGGAATACTCCAAGACTAAAAGCTTGCTCTGAGAAAACCTTTATGCTAACTTTTGAAGACAAGTATGAAATGATGTAATTTCCCCCCCAACAACAACATTTTAGTATTTATCAGCATAGTGCCTACACAACAAATCCAGAGAAATGTCTAAAGTTTTTCAGTCGTGGCTATCAGAGTAATTTCGTTTAATGCTGAATATTACTTAAGCTTCATACTCCTTTGCAAAAGTTATCTGCTGAGAAAATAATTACCATCTCAATTTTCTACAAAGCAATTGATCTTACTGTTTTAAGACAAACTCAGTGAGAGTTACAGATACAATTTAAGTGTACACATAGGCAAATTATGTAACAATTATTTCTTCCCCACTGTCAAGCACTGTATTTCTCTGGACAAATAATTTTCTACACGTCAAACATTTTTACAAACCTGCTCCCAAATGTTACAGTCTAACTGAAGCTCTTGATTACAGTCTCAAGTCTTCATCTGTCATTTTTAATCCATCTCAAGAAACATGAGCTAATATTCATTGGAATAACTCTTCACCATGGCTGTCACAGGGACACTGCAACTCATCCAAAGACAGTCACAAATTGAACCTGTACCTGTGAGTGGCTGTACTTACCATGCTCTCATGTCAATATTTTACAAGTGTGAAATCTTCAGTATCAATGACACACCTGTGCTTGCTTCACCTTACAAATTTCCAAAGAACTCACTTATAGCTTTTTTGTAAACTGAACATTAAACGTTGATTTTTCCTTAGTGACAGATTACTATTTATGAAGAAGAGTATCAGATACAAGTATTTAGTAAAGAACAGACTAAAAAATCCTCACTACCTTTCCAACCTACTGTGCTGATTATTCCCACCAGCAGTTTACCTCCTATGGATTGTGGGGCTTTGAGCACTGCAGTTTTTCTGAGCAGTTCAGCAGCTCAAAAATGCCACATTTGCTTGTATTTTCTTCTATCCTCTCAACAGCTACATGTTCTCATTTTATGTTGTTTATTTCAAAAATTAAAGATTAACACCAAAAATCAAGCTCTGTGACTCAATACACCATAATAGTCCTGGGAACATATCTGAATATCATAAACATGCACCTCTATACAGCATACAGCTGTTCTCACTGCCTGTCCTCTCCAGCTTCCCTTTTCCCCTTGCTTTCTTTGGGTCATATTACTTGCAGGCTTTAGTTAAAAGCACATGTAAAATAACGAAAAACTACAGAACTTCTAAAAGAATAAAAGAAACAAGATAAATGGTATCCTCTCTCAGAAGAAATCTCCCATATTGCCTGAGAGGAAGATATAAAGCTTAAAGCTGAAAGACAAAAGTTGCTCTCATTGCACTAACATATTTTAAGTTCTTCTGTTGCAAAAATCAACCCATTTGCACTTTCAGCAATTATCTTGTGGTTCCCTAACAGCATATGTTGCCTTTTAATACACAGGATTTTAAAATACACTACTAAGATTATACAGATAATTTCATCTTAAGAATTCTTTCAACATTAGACTATCTATATACTTATTACACTATCTACAGTGTAATAGGAAGTTGAAAAATGCTGAAAAATGCTGCTGAAGTTTACTGAGGTTTATTAAATTTTTATCAAGGTCTAGCTTTCAATTCTCAATGCAAAGTTTCCTTCAGTATGAATTACTCATTTGAACAGTGAAGATGTGTTAAGTGTCCATCAAGCAGAGGGTGTTATTCACCTGCTGACTTCTAGGCCCTTCAAGTATAGTTCCATTCAGGTATCACTACCAACCACTGCCATGTAGTTTCCATTGCCCACTGTGGAATGCTGTTATTGTGACAGTCCAAAAGTTAACCAGCTGCTGAAACCTACAGTTTTTCAGTTTGATTTTGCTACTGTTTGTTGATTTCTTTCGGTTCTGTTTCTTTCAAGCACAGTTAAGTCACTGAGGTGAACTACTCTGTGGCTAAGAAAAAATAATAATAATTGTAGGGGTAATTTATACAACTTAATACATGACACAAAAAGTCTTTGTATTTCATAAACCTGTTTCTTCCTTATCATCAGGCTTCTTATAAACAAAGATAAATCTCTCTTACAGATCTCGCCAGATGCAAAAAGAAAAGAACACAATGAATATGTATTTCAAAGGTACACAAGTGACTCACTAATCTAAATGTACTGATGCATTTAACAATTTTGCACTCCATGGTTCACCTTTTCATTCACACCTCTTCATACAAATGTGCTGCTCATATCTGATAAGTTACAATGAAGATCTGTGGTTGAAAAATAGAATGTCATTTCCATTCATGAAAGGTAAGATGAAAAGAAACATTTTTTTATAAAACATGCTTCTCACATTAAAAAGGGCTTCACAGATCTCACAGTTCTGTGAACCGCTTCATTTCAGTCCTCCCTAAAACAGCAGTCAGGGCTGATCTGAGATAACACAGGGTGGTTGCAAGGCATTGCTGCCAGTCTTGAAGGAAGTTATTACAGAGGATGGTCAATCCTTGCCTAGATCAAAGGCTCCAGGGCATTAGAAAAAGAACATCCTACTTAAAATTGTATTTACACATTAGCTCTGTAGCCTCAACCCAGAGCAGCAAGTTTATGAAATTAATTGAGGAGGAGGAGGAAGAAACTTTTAAGATCAGAAGAAAACTTATTTACTATTAAGCATGCAGATGAAGTACCTTAGTCCATGTTTAAGAGGTATTAACATTTACATGTCAATTATTACCAGAATTAGACTTCCAAAGCATTTTCTTTCTTACAACACAAAGGTAGCACTCCAGTTAAGGATTAAAGAGAGAACATTCACCTGTAGTACATCTCCCTGTAAATAATTACAACTGCACTTAGTGTAAGAAGAATCTACATTTTTCACTCCATATAAGTAGCATAACATTACTGCGAAGTCAGAGAAGGTTTTACTACTGTGAAAATTTTTAAAAACTCTGCATGAGAGAGAGTCCTATTCCTGATTTCACTGTTTGAAGATACAGGGATTTGAGGAGTAAGCAGACAGCACGTGTACTGCTGGCATTGTTATCCTGGCCACATGGAGTTCAGAAAAGGCTGTATTACTCAAATACCTATTTATTTTTCCAAGCAGAACCGGGAATGCAACACCAAGCCCATGCTGCTGGTAATACTCAAGGTAATTTATATACAGTTATGTGAGCTACAGTCACAGCAATGAATCCAGTACAGCACATTAAGTCTCCCTAGGACTCTGCTAGGTACACATTCATTACATGCTGTGCTCTACAGTAAGTCACACTACAGATGATTAGATAATTGTATAAAACTGAATTTAATTACTAACTCTTCCTATTTCACTATAACTGTTCCTGTGAGACCTCATGCCTAAGTCCTGACTACAGCTCTATTTCTACCTATTCAAACTAAATATTACTGCTGAATGTCATAACTGGAGAAAGGCAAGATATACACTTAAATGTATAATGCTGGTGAAGCTAACAGAAGAACTTCTGCTTCCTTATTAGAGCCAGAGTTTGAAAGCAGTCGACTTTGTACCTTGCTTTTTTATATTTTTTGCAAGAAGAGATCTGTCATATGACCCAGGCTGAGATCAAGTCCTAGTTCAGAGTTCAGAATGCTGAAGTTCAACTAATTGCTTTCAAAAATGTATTTCTATTCTTTACAAGAAGTTAAAAAAGTTGCAATATTTTTACTCACTCCTGTTAGCATGGAGTTTGATGTTTACAGTAAGAATTTAACACTTTATGCAATGAAAAGATATTTCATACAAGTTTTGCCCTAATTGTTTAGTAAATGAAGGTAGTAAAGGTCTAAAGTTTTCCACTCTGCAGCAGGCTAATTTACCTTTACATTACTATTCATATTGTTTGATTAAAAGACTGGATAATACACAGGGGAGTAGAATAAACATTCAGAAGTCCAGTGATGAGGTTTGGAAGCAGTGAGTCAAAATAGGGTTAGGTTAGGTCAGGAAAATAGAAGTATGAGTGACAAAGTTTGAAGGGAAGAGTGATACCTGTTATTACTAATAACTCACTGTTAAAGGGACAGAGGGGGAGAAGATCAAGCTTTTGACACGAGAAGGAGCAAATTTTGAAAAATGTACTTATTAGGAGTAACTGTTTCATTTTGTGCATTTAAGTTCTTTCAAAAAGCTTTATCTGAGCTTTTGAAGGCAAGGTTTTGTTCTACAACCTCTTTGGAAAGTCTGGCTATTATAAACTAGATCAAGATTTTAAATATGACATTCTGCAGGGCCACACACTTTTGGCTATAATATGTATGCCTTTACACAATGAACTACACACACACACAGAGATCTTCTATCAAGTTGCCTAATTGTCCTTGCGTTAAAGGCATTAAAAGCTCTGGATAAAAATTCCCCTGCTATCTCTGTATTAACTGCGTGCTTGGGGCTGTTGGGGACAAAGTTTATGCAGTCCACCAACACTGGGTTCTAAGAACACACCTTCCCACTCTGACAATACATTATTTTTGTTACAATTGTTTTTCCACTGACAGAAGCAGAAATACATAGAAATACATCTCAGTTACCACAGGATGCAAATGCTCCCATTTCTAAAAGGCACAGTCACACCCCTGAATTAGCCTCAAGGTTGATTTGCTTTTTGTTTTGCTATGTTTTGTTTTAGTGTCTTACTTTTAAGGTACGAACTTCTTTTCATTACATTATCCTATTAGAAAAGAAGAGCAATAAATCTACTCTTAAAAGAGAACATCATACAAATACTTCCCAGTGCTAATCCGTATATGCCTCCAAAGAAGGTCTCATGGACTGTTCATTATTTTCATGTAAACAAAGGAATTTTTGTAGCTGAAATGTCATACTTCTGCTGAGTCATTTAGCAGTTTACTCCCACAACTTGCTACATTTTGAGGCGAAATGAAAAAGCTCCTTAAAAGCTTATGACAGTTCATAAAATAGGAAGGTTAAATTTGAACACTTCCAATAGAGATGACCCAGTAGGATTTGCTAAGCTTCTTGTCAAAACACACAGAAAGGATGAAAAGAATGAGCAAAACAAAGCCTTAAGAAAAAGCTCTTAGCATTGACTTGCTAAATGCAAGTTTGATCAATGGGATCAATTTTAATATTTTTTAATTTTTTCTTAACTCCCAGTTTTTTTGGATCTTACTGAATAAAAGCGGGTCTTCACATCCACGGATATTCTTTTTTAATTTGACATTTCCTCAGGGAAGTAAGATAACAGTATTTAATACTTTTTGCAGTCAGTATAGCACTCAAGAAGCAGAAAAAGTACTATCTGAAATAGCAATAAAAAGGTCCACTTTCTTGAACACTGTAATTCAATGTATAAACGAAATGCCAATAGCCTAATAAGACCAAAAAAGAAAAACAAACATAAGCCCACCTAGGCTCACTCTCCAATGTACTTTACCGCTTTTCTTCCATTTAAGCAGCTCACCTGGTGCAGTAACCTCTTGAGCTTCAAGAGCTGAGTTTTGACAGCTGTGCAGTCCTGGACCATGTGCCGCAGGGTCATTTCATCCAGCATCACAGTATTCTCCGGTAAACCCCCCAGCTGGCGGGGAGCCTGGTACAAATTGGGTGCTCCGTAGCTTTCCAAGTGACCAACAGGAGATTCCCGGTAGTTTGATCCCCTGAAAGAGAAATCAAAACTTAAAAACAACGGCAGTGACAAACTAGAGTTAGAAAGCATTTAGTAAAAAAAGGAGGGCATTATGTAACGTGGGCTATACTTACATGCTGTGGCAGAAAATAAATACATCAGAACATGTCAATGCCATTTCACTCAAACGCAGAGCTTTCCTTCCTACTTGTGGAGGCCTCTTGCAGACTAACAACTACAGTACCCTCTAACCAGCTTGGTCATCAGGATTTATACAAACTGTCATTCAATCCTATTAGGACTATAGGATTACATTGAATTTACCAACAAATTAAAAAGTAACAAACTGTCCAAACTTACAACATGCAAGTAGTAAGACATTGTAATGGTTTTCCATGGAACACATAAGGTATTTTAATCAAGCTTTTATAGTATCACATCAACACAAGTAACAAGTATTTGGAATAAAAACAGAAGCATAAGTTTTGTAAAGAAATTGTTACAACCCTCAGTGATGCTCCCACTCAGACATACAACTATTCAGAAAATGTCCTGGTACTCAGTATCGCTTGAGACCCTTCAGTGACCCTTCAGTGCCAAAAAGAATTTCTCATTAGTGTTTGTTGCATTGTTTGGGAGAATAAAGACAAGTCCTTTACCTGTTCAAATCATTTTTACCATGGATATAATGATCAGTATGGCCGAGATGATAGTGATCCTGTGCATTCCATCGCTGCTGTGGTGCTCTTTTCCAGAATCCTTCCTGATGTTGTCTAGCATTTCTGTCTTGTCTATCATAACGGCTCATATTTTCACATTCCTCTACAGAGAGCATAGAGTTAAAAAAAAAATTATAAACTTTGTTCCCAGGACCTTGCAAATAAAATATTTACTATGTGCTAGTAACAAATGCAGTGTAAAATCTGGTTGGTTTGTTTGTTTAACTGATACAAAACTGTATTTTAGAAGTGTCAAGCAGACATATAACGATGTCACATTTTTACCAACATATAAACTTGTTCCGAGAATAAGAGTAACCTGTAGCAGAAACTACAGAATCCAGCCTTAATAGTATTTCCAGTTCAAGTAGAAAATCATGAGGAGGAGGCAGAGCTATTGGGAAGAAAAGAAATCCAGAAGTAACTGTTTCCTGTCTTTCTTAAGGACTGTATTGTCAAGCCTTTAAATAGTTCTAACAACCCACAAACACAGCAAGACAACACTGTAAAAAGAGAAGAGTACTGCACTCCAAAAGAGACCAGTTTCATTACTTAGAATACAGATATAGCTCACCCTATTCATGCTTGTTTTTCAGTTTCAGAGGCACTTAATCTTTATTTACCTGGTCAACCAGTATGATTTAAAACAAGGAAACCACATAATCTCTTCAAAATACTAACTTCTACAAAGTCCCACAGATTCCACAAACTTCTTAAGGGAACAAATGCTAAATTTGGCAACAGCCTGCAAACAACTAGAGAGAAAGTCAAAACAGCAAAACCAGGCAGTCAGACAGGGCAAAAACACTCAGGAATTGCTATTTTGCCACCACACTTTCTCCTTCACTTACCCAAGGAGTTTTTCCTCACATTGGCAGTCCTTTGCTGGGAGAAACTCCACACAAGAGAACATTGTTTACTCGGCTGCCTACTCAGACAAGTTGCGCACAAGCCGCTCACAAACAGGCCTTCCTTCCTGCTCAGCTCCCAGCCTGCGTGTGGCTGGGAAGGGAGCCCAGCCTTACCCTGTGATTTAAAACTGCCGTCCTCGCTCCCTGCATACTTGTTGAGCTAGAACTGTTTCTATAAATAGTGGCCAAGCGGCATCCCAGACTCCAAAGTGAAACTAGGAAAGTTTCTGAGGACCTGGAAAGCCTTAACAGGCTGACGTCAGTGAGGTCACACAGAATTGTGGAAAAAGTGCTGGCAAAAAGGATTTTACACATCATTATAACAAATACACAGAGCTACACAGTTTTTATCACATAGCTCAATAACCAAAAAATTACATAAGAAAATAAACTTATTCACCTTAAGTAACAGAAGGTTTATTTTCCTTTAGCAATATCCTTCTACAGGTCACAACACATGAAAATTAACAGCAAAATAAGCCCTCCTTAAGTTTATAAGTAACCTCTGGAAAATTAAATTGAGATACTGAGTAAAGACACATGGATATTAACCAAGAAGTTTTGCTTTTTCAGGTGGTCAGGTTCACATAAGGGAAAGCCTGGAAGTGGCTTTGGAATTCTGCTTTTCAGACCCTCTTTGCTAAAAATAGAGTGATTTCAAGAGAAGAAGCAGAGATACCCAGTTTATGCCACATTAATTTTATAAGGAAACCGAACCTCTAAAAACATGCCAAAATTAACAGTAATTACCTTTTAATGTTTTTGTGGTAAACATTCACCTTTAAAACACATGCCTTCCTAGCAGTTTTTAAATAATTTGTAACGGAATTACTGATGCAAGTGCAGTGCATGTTTTATAAACAAGGAAGCTTATGAGAAATTGATCTACCCTTTAAAATCGTTTCTTAGTTTTTCCCAACAGAAGTAGAATTACCCTTATTGAAAGAATATGCCCTAGGTTGGGATTGTTACCCATTCTGGAAAATTAGTTATGTAAAGAATAAAAATTTCACACCTGTCAGGGCTGAAAAGTTTCATACTGGCAATGTTGGCAATAATTGCCTTTCACACAAGTCCTTTAGAAGACTCATTCTGAGACTTACAAGATTAAATACTGCATTTCATATGTGCACACTGTTAAAACATGATGTGCCACCATTGTGGTAGATGGAAAACTATGTATGTATTTACTGTTATTTTGGCTTCATATCTAACATACATACAGGAGTCTTCACTCAAAGAACTCAGAAGTGCTCTCAAAACAAGCCAAATTTCCTCCAACTTTAGCAGGCAGCTGAACATTACACACAATAAGGAAAGCCTTCTTTCTCTCAGTGCCTGTTTGCACAGGGTAGGGCATTAACAGTGTTCCATGTTCAGTGTTTCTGTTCATTTGAAAATATATTGACCTCCACTGAACTTGGAGGTAAAGCTAATACCCATATTCACATGACAACAACAATTCCTATGAGTAGGTCAGCAATAACTAAAAGCAAATGCCTCAAAGTTTTCCAGTCTAGGATTTGAGAAAGTGTAGCCATAATTTCCTTTACCAATTTCATTCTGCTCTGGATTTGTATTTCTTCAATAGCATCTAGGTACCACTATTCTCTTGGTGAAGCTGGCCAGCACCCTCACTGAAAGTAAGAGTGCATAAAAGACAACTTGAAAAAATCACACCTTAAAAGTTTCTGTTACCCTGAATTTGTATACAATATATATGATATTGTGTAGAAGAAAACAAAGACTTATCTCAAAGAATGACACTGTCATTCACCAAAGCAAAAAAAAAAAAAAGTCCCAACATTTTCAAATATATCTGAAGCATGAGACTGAAAGACTAACTTAAAACTTTGTAACTGATTCTACTGAAATAATTTTAAGAAAAAAAACCAGTATGAAACAAGGTTGCACCTTTATTAAAAAGGCAGTAAGTTTCTAACTTTAGAATTCTTCAAATATGAGTTGTATTTGGGGAAACAGAAATATCACCCTTCCTATATTTCAGATAAGAAACAGTTGTTACTTTAAAAAAACCAAACAACACAATGTGAAGAGTGCATTGACTTATTAAATCAAGAGTCAGAGCAAAGCAACTCAAAAACCTCTTAAGACCACGAAGCAGTTTCACTGTGTAAGATGGCTTGGCTGATTTACCAACCTTTGTCACGAGGTGGGTCCTCAGGCAGGTCCACATCAAGCATAAGGTCATCATCTTCAAGATCACATGAATCAAGATTATTCAAGATATCCTGCAGGAAAGAAAAAGTGAGATACAACTGTGCTATGATATTTCATTTACCATTCTGTCATAAAAGGATTATTTCAGTGTTTTGTTACGTTTGTATTGTACACACGATGTTACCAGCAACCTCCTCTTCAGAGAGGCATCTTACCTGAGACCATCTATACAAACAACAGTCATCACACCTCCAGTGATATGAAACAATAACAGTGAGAGACAAAACAAAGATGGATTAAAACTTTTTTTCTGCCTGACACCAATGGAATACTCCAGGTATTTTTCTATTCATTAATATCCTGCCTTCTCCCCAGTTGGAAGCATGTTAAAACTAAATTACTTTGCTTACTTAGAATTAAAAAACAGCTTTGTGAAAAGAAGATGTTGAATCTCCTTATTTCAGCTCTCATACTATCATGACATCATTGAAAGGAAGTGGGGGGGACCTATGTTATCTTGACTTTTTGGGCCAATAAAACTTCAAATATGCCATTATCAGCATTAAGCTCTGCTTCCTTTTGTCTTTAACACTGTGGCTCATACAAAGCTGTTCCTATAAGGGCTAACAGTCATATTGCATGGGTGTGCTAACAGCACGAAAAAAATGCAATATAGAGTTAGTACGAAATGGAATTATACATATTCAATATAGTCAGTCAGGTATATTAAAGAATAAGGACTGTAGTGTGGGCAAGTCTAGTCTGTGTTAAAAAGACAGACTAACCCCTCTTCCTTTAAGAACACCAAGAGCAGGAAAAACTCAAGATCAAGGTTGTAGAACCCCAGCTCATGGCACAGTCAGACACTGCCAGCACCACACAGCTGAAAAGTCACAGCAGCAAATGAAGTGCAGCACCTGACCAGAGAACCCAGACAGTGTTTTACTTCATTATTCAAAGAAAACTAAACTTACTAATACCAAATTATTATAACACAAAGTAGGTCTGAGGAAACTGCTAATGGATATAGAGCTCTAACTCTTGATCTCACAAGTAAAGTCATAGCTTTAAAGCCCAAGGTCAGACTTGGGCACTTGACATCTGCCTTTTTTCTAATAACAGAAATGCAGATTTTTCTTGGGTTTATCTGCTACCCCTAAAGGTGATTCAGAGGACCAATATTGAAAAATTTACCAAATATCAAGTGAAACAAGTGCTTTATAATTATTTATCAAAACATGATCATTAAATACTTTACAGAACACAGACTATGAGCACACTACAAAACAATATTCCCTTGGAAAGTTATCCCTTTGCTGGCTATCATTTATGATGTTTACTGTATCACAGATGTATGGAAGATGTAAAGGAACAGTATTAACAGGCATTTGTCTGAACTGCTGTTCCAGCTTTTCTTCAGCAGCCTTCCTACAGTGCTCACAAAGGACTACAGTATTTTATTAGAAATGGTGACAAGAGTTAAGTATATTTTAAGATTTTGGGGGTTTTTGTGATATAGAACATGAAACATTTTGCATTTCTGCCGGGCAAGTAATTTATTGACTTAGGAGGGAGAGTGGGAGATTAAAATAGTTGATATGCACTTCGGAAAACATGAGCAATATAAAGGAAAGATGGAACACTTGAGACAGAACCATCTGTTTTTGTTATATTTCAAAGTCCTACTGGAATTGTTTTGTTTACACATAGTATTCTGTGTATCTACTGGAAAAAACAGGAAACCTACATATCAAGGAATTGTGAATAATAATAAATCCAACTATGGACAAGCTTCACAAAGAAATGGAATCCATTTAAAAGAAACATGGATTTAATATTTGAGAGAACAAACTGCCTGTAGAAATTTACTTCTTTTTTTTTTTCCATTTATTTATGTTTTTTCCCAGAACTAACAGATTTTTAACTAACCCATATTTTTTAAACAATTCTGTGTGTTTGAGAGGCAGCTTTGGTTTGTTAGTTGATAAATTGTTTCTATGCCATGCTTTGATCTTCAAAATTAGTATGAACAAGCATTATTTTCCTCTACTGCAGGAATTTCAATGAGCATGACAAATAAAGTGGAAACCGTTGCCACAAACACATAAAAGTAGAAAACTTTTACCATCGCATTGAAAAATGCACAGTATAAAAACATAGTATGTCAGAGTGTTAACCAATAAACCTGGATAAGTCACTTTACTATCTTCGTATCAGAACTTTGGAACTGTAATGGTGTCAGAGAAGGACAGCACTTGAGATTCCAAGCATACTTTTCTGTCAACAGCACATTTCATTATGCTTCTGTAATTATACATTCCTCACCACACCGAGGAAACTCCGGGAAAGGAAACTCCATGCTGGAAAACACAAACTGCGAATACCAAGTCTTTGTAATCACTGGACCATGTGTGAAAGCACTTGGAGCATTTCCCAGTGCTGGTGACTTGGGAAACATAATATCCAAGTAGATGTCATCTTGAAATAGCCATAAGATAAAGAGGAGGTTTCATCAGCACATTAGTACATAAACCCCCCTATATTTAAAGTCTTCCACTGTTATTCTTTCTACTGCAAAAGGAACTGCAGTTAACTACTTGGCACTAACACAGTTAATAATATGTGCTTCACAGCAATTGGCATCATCAAGTGATTTTGGGCAATGAGCTCAAACAGAACAGGAAATAAAACATTTTTTTAAAAGTGCATCAACTCCAACCCTACAGAATGTTTCAGCAATTATTACAAGTTACAGAAAAAGGAGAATTCCATTTTATTTCTATAGTTGAAAAGAATGATGCATATTGAAAGGAGTGTGTTTTTCACAAGGCTGATTTAGCATTAGATTTTCAAGATGGTACAACCTAGTCAGAGATTAAGTTTGGGACTGCAAAATCCCAAATCAAACTACAATGCTGTCCCTTGACCTCTCTCTCCACAAAGCTTTTCCACTGTCCGCAGGCAGTAGTGCTTTGCTTGCTTCCTGTAATAGAACAGGGAAAGGTTTAGGTGAAACACAGATCTGTGAATACTGGTATAAGAACTGAGTAACCCAAGAACCCCAACAGCAGGAAACCCTCATATTGCATAAAGAGATGGAAAAAGACTAAAAGAGGTGAGAATAAGGCACACCACGTGTGTAATTACACCACATCCAGCAAGTTTACTTCCATGTTCTGCAAATTCTTTCCACAGTGATTGTCCTCAGGTGCTATGTCTTACCACAGGTTCAACAAGCACCCAACAACTGCTCAGGGTTTTAGCCCAATTTGTTGGATGTGTGGAGCTCAGCGCCTCTTCCTCAAGAGACATATCAATAATAAGTTAAGACCAATGTTTTGAAGACTGGGGTACTGTAGAGCAGGTACTTTTGCTGAAGCTGAACAACTTTAAATTCAATGTAAAACAATGTCAACCATAATAAACTGGAATAGCAAAATATTCTTCTCATAAAGCTCAGTTTCTAAAAATTCCTCATGCAACATGCATCATAAGCTTTTTCTTCCACTGAAGAGCAATGTTTTTCAGTCCACCAATTTGAGTTCCATTTTGCTTAACAGCCTAGGCAAGAGGCCTGATTCTCAGCTTTCCTATTTCTCAAGCTAAGTACTGTGAGGTTATAACACAGCCAAAAATAAAGCATAAAATGCCCAAGTTAGAAGAGAGAGAGATATATTTACATTTTCTCCCTATTAAACATAGAAAACGTGGAACAGTGAAAGTTTACAACACAATGTATATTACACTGGAATTAAGGGGAAAAAGGAAGAAGTCAGGAATTTGGGCTAGTGCAAAAATACAAAGCAGTTCCAGATAAACAGCCCTCAAATAATTTCAGAGAGTGTTCATAGAATTGAGAAGAGCCTGAGCTCCAACTACCAATGCCAAGTTATGATATTTTGCTTGAAAAGCAATTTGCTTTGAGGTAGTCACAAACTGGTGGTGAATATTAGGAACAGTATTTTTACCTGTTTCCACAATTCATGAGCTCAGACCTCATTTGTTTGTTCTACCTTTAAGAAATAAGCAGTTAAAGGAAAATAACCAATTAGTTTTGTTACTGATTTACTGACTTAGGTGTTGCTTCCAATGATGATGAAAATGTCCACAGCAGAAGATAAGCATGAGTAAAAGGAGAGAATAACAGAAGAATCTGGCCAAAAAACTCAAGAGAAGTGAAGCATTTGAGAGTAGCACAGAAACCAACAAAGCATCATTTCAGGTTCTTGAAGAATGAAAAACAGAAGTAGCTTTTAAAAACAAACTCTAAACAGACCGGGTAGATAAGTCATCTGCAGGGTAGCTAAAGGATAACTGCCAAAGTCAAACACAATTCAAGGCTGACAGAAGAAGGAGACCTTCAGGGTCTTTTTCAATGCTATTTTCAGCATTTGACAACACCCCCGATAGAGACAAAGAGAAAAAAAGAAACAGGAATTCAATACAAGTGTTGAAAAAGGCAATGTTTTATAAGAACTGAACAGAACTGTTAAGTGAAGGCAGAAAACAGAGACAGAAGATATAAACAGAGGAAAGCACATACAGTACTATAGGGCTGAAGAAAAAAACCCACTGTAAACAAAGTCCTTAAAAAAAGAGAAAAACACCCAGAGGAGACAGGACAGAACTCTGTAGGATACCAAAACTAGGATAAGAAGTTATTTTAAATGCTTTACATTACAAGTCACATTAAAGACAGTGAAGCAAAACATCCAAAGAAGTATTTTGTAATTTTGTCCATGCTCTGTAACACTTTTGTTGTCACAGTAACCATCTAACATAAAATGTTTTGGATTCTCAGAACAAAGTTCATGTTCAACTGTTAAATTCAACGGTTTTAAATAAATATTTACTATTCCTGAAAACATTTTTATAGAGGCATTGTATGTTCCACCTAGGTTTACTGTAAATATACAGGAATTAATTATCAGTCGAAGGTATTACCCACTGTATCTTAAGCTGTTATGCTTGCTGCTCTTATAATTTTATTTTTTTTAATTATAAAATCAGATGTCAGACTGTGTAAGGAATCTGAAATTCAAAAGCACGATGAAGGAAGAGAAAGAAGAAA